GGAAGGAAGGAAGGAAGGAAGGAAGGAAGGAAGGAAGGAAGGAAGGAAGGAAATGTCTCCAGGAAACACTTAGTAAACACCATTTTTTCCCTTTAACTGAAAGATTGCCACAAAGATATCCTTATTCATGTTCCATATCAGACCCAACTGCCAGATACAAATAATACATATTCTACTGAAAGAATAGAATCTTAAATTAAAGAGATGTAATGCCTTTTATCATCTTTAAACTGATTTTAAATGAACATAACCCTTACCAGATATATGTGAGCCACATAAGGTGGGGGGGGGGGGGAGAATTGACTTGGAAGCATCTAATTGAATTTGGAGATTAAATCTTAATTTGATTTAGGAGAAAAAAGAAGAAAGAAAAGAATGAACTTGTGATTTATGGGTTGGATGATTAGAAAGGGCAGACTATGGAAGAAGGAAATTACATTGTAACCTTAGAAAGGGTAAAATATAAATGTACTTGTAACTACTGTAAAGATTGGAAGCCTTTCCTTTCCTTTCCTTTCCTTTCCTTTCCTTTCCTTTCCTTTCCTTTCCTTTCCTTTCCTTTCCTTTCCTCTTCTGTATTTCTTTCTTTGCATTTTTTTCACTTATTACTTTTCTTTACTTTCCTTACTTTTTTCTTTCAAAATTTGTATTGTTTTTCTATTTTTTTTAATAAAAATTATATATATATAAAAACATTGCCTTAACTTCATTTCTCCAGATGTCAAAGAGAAGAAAGAAAGATTATAAAGTATATTTATCTTTTTCAAACTCAGAAAGTTGGAAATTAATCTAAGAGGGCATAGGAATAAGTTAGTCTTGGAGAAGAACAAATCTGATACCTTTCTAATTGCTGAGATATTCTGACATCTTTTTAGCTCAATTACTCAAAGTAGAATCGAAGTATTTTTCTTTCCTTTACTCTTGATGATGATAAGATCCAAACTATATTACACAGATATTAGATCACTATTAATGGTTACCAAACAGCAGATCTATTTTGAAGAAGACCTAATTATTCTGTTCATTAAATAGGTCATGTAAGTAATCCAAACTAAAAAAAAAAAAACTTTATTAAATGCAGAGTCACTCATTATACAGTGAAAGATTTTATTTTCCATTTCCATTCATAAGAATTTGACACACGCTGTTATATATGCCAAGGATATACAGTATTGGTAAAGTTGGCATAGGTAATAAACAGACCCTGTTTTTATTCTTATAAGAGGATTACTAATTCCATTCCACAGCAGAAATACATATAGGCATGAATAGTCATAAATGCGTTCTCTTTATAAGTTGCTGTCTGCTGTTGAAATTAGGCCTTAGCAAAATAATGTAGCATTTGGGGAAAAAGATACAACCCAATAACCCAGCACTAGAAGCTAAGATGGAGAAGATCTCCACAGCCACCATGTACTTCCCTTTGGTGCTCAGATAAGTGGGGACAAAAGACAACCAAACACTACAAAACATCAGCATGCTGAAGGTGATAAACTTGGCTTCATTGAATGTGTCTGGCAAGTTCCTAGCTAGGAAAGCCACCATGAAGCTGACAAGGGACAGAAACCCCATATACCCCAAGACAAGATAAAACATGGCAACAGACCCTTCATTACATTCTGCTATGATCTCTTCAGTCACTGATTGCATGTTAAGTTCTGGAAATGGGGGAGAGGTTATCATCCATACCAGACAAATGCCTGCTTGAATGAGGGAGCAGAAAAGGACAATTAAGAAAGATAGTCTTTTCCCCAACCATTTTCTCATGCTCGACCCTGGTTTGGTGGCCATGAATGCTGCAATGACCATGATAGTTTTGGCCAACACAGAAGAAACAGCCACAGAGAAGATAATGCCAAATGCAGATTGTCGGAGGAAGCAGATTAGTTTGAGAGGTTTTCCAAGGAAGAGAAAAGAGCAGAGGAAGCAAAGCAGAAGGGAGATGAGGAGAGTGTAGGTGAGGTCCTTGTTGTTAGCTTTAACAATAGGAGTGTCTTTATACATAATAAATATTCCAAGTATGAACACGGTAATGACTGAGAATAAAACCGCAATTACAACTAAACTGATCCCTAAAGGTTCTTCATAAGTTAGAAAAGTTATGATTTTGGGGATGCATCCAACTTTGTCCTTACTTGGATATTGATCTTCTGGACATTCAGAATAGGCAATCGTGTCTGGAAATATGAGAGAGGCCATGAAGCATAAATGAAATATATAATTGTGATGGACTGGAATGGAATGGAAGAAGGGGGGTGAAAACGGTGCTCTCGTCTCCAGAGCAACGCTCTGGAAATCAGCAGAGAAAGCTGGCGCATCCCTAAACATTCCGGAAGATAGTAGAGAGTTGTGCCTGGGAACTACTGGTGAGTCTGAAAAGATTGATGTCAA